GGGCCAACTTACGATCATCTCCTTGGGATAACGCTTGGGATCCGCTTTCATAGGCCGTCGCATCGTCGTCGCGACCTAACCAATTAGTCCCGGGAAACTGTAAAAGCAACATTTGCAGTATCTGCTCACCGTTCGAGCTGAAGGATCCATGGCGAGTTGGTACATCAGCGAACGAATGTCGTCGGCTCTGAGGAGCTTCGGGGATTGGGCCAAATCCAAGGGAAGTTTGCCAGTGTGCCTTTTTGATTCCGTCAAAGGTGCGATTCTCGCCGGGGGACAGTGGTTGTCTTTCAGCGAAGCCGAGGGTTTGTTCACTCATGCGACGAGCGTTGCTATCACGACCAGGGAAACCCGCGAGGTCTTCTCTATCATCAATCGCAGTCTCAGCCTCTTCTGGCACAGCGCTTCGAAGGCGTGTATTTCGAAACCCAGGAGGTTGAACCGGAGTCGTAGCGGTCTTCGGGAAACCACGATCACGATTTTGAGCAGCGTGGCGAAGCTGAGCATTCTCCCTTTCCAGCCTCTCAATCATACGAGCCTGTTCAGCACTGATGGCGTCGGGAGTGATATTGCCTCGCTGATCCTCCTCGTCATCCTCTACCTCTCGCAGTCGGCCCAGCCCGCCGGGCTCCAACACACCAAGTCCGCTGGTTCTCGAGGTGCGTCTCTGCAAAGGGTATTGACTTCCAAGCCTGCTGCGGGTGGCTTCAATTGAGGTTGAGATGGGATTAGTCGATGGCGCCGTAGTCGTGTCGAGCTGGCCCACTGAATATGATTGTGAGCGGTAGGTCTTTGGCGTCGGCTGGAGAGGAATGGAGAATGGTATTCCGCCTTCACCGTTCGTGGGTAGGACTTCCTGAAGGCGGGATGGTGGATCTTTGCGCCCGTCCTGACTCCAAATGGTAGGCCAAGGATACGATGTGGCGGAGTTGGGCCATGCTCCCGGTCCTGTCGCGTTGGGGTTGGGATTTCCCCAGGGCAAGGGTTCTGCTCCAGGAGTTCCTGGATGGGAGGTGGAAGGGCTGTAAGGACCTGTGATGGATGGTTTGCGATTCGCGTTCGCCAATGAGACATCGTTTAGCCAGGAAGTTCTTCGCACATTCCGGTTGGGTTTGACGTTGCTGCCACCACCAGTCTTTCCGTGGTCGGGTTCGTCGTCTGAAGAAGCCAGCGCCTCGGAATCGGGGGTTGATCTGCCCAGGCCTGGATTGGATTTTTGAAGGAGCAGCGACGCGGATGCCTGGTGCGTGCCAAAATTTCCGAATGCTGGCATAGGCCCGCGAGTGGTCAGACCCGACTTGTTGGGTGTGTTGCTCATGATGGGTGAAGGTGGCAACGCCAGATTAGACGTGGGTTGACACTGTTCTCGTTTCGAGTCAGCACAAGCTTGTCAAGGTTGTAAGGAATATTGGGATTCAGAAAAGCGATTCCTCAGTAGGGGAGAACTCGTCGTACAACAGAATTCCGATTCGTTCCAAGGGGAAGTGAGATGGGTGAAGAGGAAGAATAGCTCCAGTGTCGAGCCGTCTCCACCTACGGAGGATGAGATGGGAGTTCAGAGAATCACCAGCCAACGGGGCAGGATCGTTTCTGATGATGAATGATGAAGACCGAAAAGCCCAACTCACCTTGTGGCTATGAAAGAGACATGGAGAGGCTGAGGGTCTGAATTAACATGTCGGGGTACGGATACGGAGATGGTTGAGTTGGGGCGCGGCCGCGCCTTAGGACCAACGCTCCGTCTTGGAAGAGCTGTGGAACCTACTAGGACAAGCCGGAAGAGAACAGAGACGTGTGAATGTTGATGAATATCGTGGAGAGGGATCTGGTGGCGTGGTCGACAAAATCTGGTGGTCCTGTTTGTGGTGGTCGTCGGCGAATAGTTCGGGATTTGGACCCTCACAGCAAACGACCGGCCCGCGCCCAGAGCAAGTGGCTAGAAGAGTCAGGTGATTGTCTTGAGGATTGTGGAGGACTGTCAAGAGCAAAGGCAGACAAAAGCTTTGTCACCAGGCAATGGAGGCAATTTATGAAGGACGGGAAAGGATGAAAAGGATGGAGGAAATTGTATGTGCCTGGGGAAGATGGGGGAGAGTGAAGCGGGCTGACAGTTGATGGTGATGGGTGATGGATGATGGGGTGGACTGTGGTGGTAAGAAGAGGGAGGGAGGGAGGAAGTGAGTGTATGTGTGTGTGTAAGAGGGAAGCTAGTGAATAGGGCCCTTTGAACTTACTACGAACAACAAGGCGGAGGAATCCGACAAGATGGGGAGAGGTAGAGCAGAGGAGATGGACAGAAAATAGACACGAACGGGGGCCCTTTTTCACAACTAAGAACAGAGAACAGAAGAAGATGTGCCGCCTTCCCCGGATTATGATGAACAGGCTTTTCGCTTAGTTTCTCACGCGACCACTTCGTTTTTGGTGTCGTTTCGAGGGTTTGTAAGGGCCGAGGACGAGGACTGAGAGATCCCAGCGCCAGCCAGCGGGAGGTTTCTTGGGAAAGGGGAAGGGTAATGGGAAAAAAAGCTAAGGTCTGGAGGCCGAAAAGGCGGGAACTGCTGATGGTCCAAGCGGGGGAGGAGGTTTGGCGACTGCTGGGGCTGCTTCTCTTCTCTGTGACTGGTCGAGGGCGATGATCAATGGATCAATGGGCGACCAGATACTTTGGCTATGCGCAGGATGGGGTAACAAGTGTAGGGCAGCACGTGTTGGGCAAGCAGTATAGCAATAATACCAAGCAGGTAGCTGACAGAATGGTAACGGTGCTCAGGTGACACGAAGGTTGCGACACTGAAAGAAGTCGACGAGAAGTAGAAGTATACGAAGAGAAAAAAAGACAACATGGCCCCCCTTGGTATATAGAAACAAGAAAGAAAGTCCGTGGCCAGGACGACAAGGAGGCAAAGAGAAGCACCGAGAGGGTGGCAGGTGTGGCTAGCTTCTGGTGTGAAGAAGAGAAAACAGTTTAGGTCTGTGTGTGGCCCTTGTTCTTGTGCTTGTGCTTGTGCTTGAGGGGCGGCGAAGGCGGTTCTCTTAGTCAAGTTTAGTCGAAGCGGTAGTGGACGCCATCTGGGGGCATGGGCCAATTCAACCACGCGGTTGACCGTCATGTCCTTAGGCACAAGTAGAAGCCTTGAAGCCTGAAGCCCTGCAGCCTGCAATCTGAAGAAGCCTTGAAGGAATGACAGATAGACCGAGGCCCGGCTGGCCCAATATGGACAGTCACGCCATGAGATGCGGGCTGTACAAGTAACTTTTCTTTCCCAGCCAGGATTTCGTCAATGCTCATGGAAGGGTTCCACAAGATTTATCTTGCGGTCCATTATGCCCTTGTTTTCCCCAGGTACTAGTAAAGAGGTACGGAATATGTCAGAGACAAGACGAAGAAGCTTTGACTTTCGGGACCTGAGCGGGGGTGGGCCAGTTGTGAAGGCGGATTGCGGAGTCTGGCCAGGAGGACAAAGAGGAGAATGGGCGAGAAGGGAGTCTGGAAAAGGCAAAATAGCGAAGAGGGGACAACGAGTAAACTAAGAGAATAGGGCAAGGGCAAGGGCAAGTGAGGAAGAAGGCAAAAGGCAAAGCAGATGGCAGTAAGAGGTAATGACATGGGCCAGGCTGTGACAAGAAGCACAGAGAGAAGCAGAGGGTAATTACGAGGTGGTAATAGTGGGTAGAGGTGGGCAAGGTCGACAAGGTAGGCATGTAGGTTGTCACTTCCGCTTCAATGCGAGTGTGTGAGTATCACCCATCAACTGCTACCGACTCACAAACCCCGCCTCCACCTTCCCTACCACAGGTACTAGGTAGTACTAGGTACGCACCTTCCCACTTGGCCACGCCCACTAACGCTGTCTTTGCCAGGATCTGGTGAAAGCGACAGAGGTTGTGTAACCAGCACAACAATACAACAATACTGAACAACAACACCTTTAGTCGGGCAGGCGCATTGTCAACAATACTACTAGACAGGCTCCCGGATATGAACACCTGCAGTGATTGACATTCACATTCACCCACTATGTGCTACTAGACCCCTCCTCCCCCTCCTACTACAAGAAGACACCTAGTGGGCTCCCCTCCTCTGCAAATCACCTCTAACAAGTGGCTGGCGCCGTGATTGATGAACAGAGTAGTGGATGCGGTGGATGCTCCCTCTTCAACACTGGCCAGAACGGGTTGGCCTTGACAGCCCTCGATCGAGATGCTTCCTGATAGACCTACATCTGGACATGATTGACCCCTGACATGCATCAAGCCACCGGAATCCAATTCAGCATTTTGCGGGGAACCCAAGCACGAGCAACTACGAAAGTCATAACTCAACATCCGAAATTCCCTTTTGGCTGACCTTGCTGGCCTAGACTTGAAAGCCAACCGACGCAGTTTGCGTCAACCAGCCCTCCACCATCCACCTCCACCCTCCAAAACATGTGCGCCCTGATCTTTACCATTTTGTGTCTTGGGCCACACCAATGTACTGTACTTCGTGCTTGGTTCTCATGACCCAAGAGATGTTGCCACCACTCGCCCATCTTGTCATTTACCGTCTACTTGTATGTCCACGTATTTCCATCTCACCCATGGCGCCACCTCCGCACGACGAATGGAATCCTCAAACCTCCTCAGACCAGATACATATCACTCAAAACACCTGGGGTCAGCCGGGTCCAGCTGACATACCTCCTCCCCCGCCCTGACACCGGCCAAGATGCCTTATCTCGATCCCTCTACGTCACCTCGGAAATCGTGGTTCAATCTCGCCGTCGCCTACTAGGGTAGTCATAATCAAGCTCGATTCTTACAATACTGCGAGCCCTCTATCGTTGGCAGCGGCGAAACAGACTCCATCCGAGAAAGAATGCCATCCTTTTGTCTTCGCGAATCGGAAGAAGCAGGCGCACGTCGCGGGAGGCCAGGACTCATCCATCAGGCAATCCCGAGGAGATACCAATTGATTTGTACAAACAGGGCGCCGATGACCCCCAAGCCACCACATCTCATGCGGCAAAGTCGAGACTGCCCTTGCCCACAGTCGAAGGAGCCGCATCAGGTCCTTTTTGATGTCGGAGCTTCTCCTCAAACTTGGCAAACTCCTTCATGGCAATTTCTTCCTCTTCGTCCAACACCTGGTTGACGCCCTTGACTTCCTCAATGTAGTGCATCAGCATCGATTCGATCCCATTCTTCAACGTAACTGTACTCGAGTCACACGTCCGGCATGCTCCCCGCAGTTTGAGGTTTACCATCCCATTCTCAAATCCGCGGTACTCAATATCCCCTCCGTCTTCTTGGATCGCCGGCCGGATGCGTGTCTCCAGTAGCTCTTTGATCATGGCAACGACCTCATCATCCTCGTCGTTGGGAGCCAATGAATCTTCGCCGAGACCTTCTTGTCCGTCTTCCGACGACGTAGATTTCTCCACGGTATTTACCAGTGCCTCGCCTGATGTTATTGCTTCGGTGATCAACGCGAAGATCTCGGGTTTGATGTGCGCCCAGTTGACATCCTCCGCTTTGGTCACCGTGATGAAGTCTGGACCGTAGAAGACCGATGTGACTCCATCGATATCGAGCAGTCGCGCCGCGAGGGGCGAGGGGTGAGGCGCGGACACGGTCGACCGCGGAGAGTTGTATTCCAAAAACGTCGAGGAAAACCCTTGCGGCAGGACGGGGTGGTTGGGGAGGAACTTCAACGCCGAGGCATTGGGCGTCGGCTGTGTCTGGATGTAGATGGATCGGGTCGCCGCTGCCGTGGGATGTTGCCCTGGCCGCAGAATCGGCCGACGACGGGACTGTGACGAGGTGATGGGGGGAATGCGAACGGATTGGTGATGGACGTGGCGGATACAAGCAGCTGCCTGACAGGATGCGCTCAATGGCGGCTTTGCCCCCAAGCCGGCGGCCAGAGCACGCAGCGACCGGGACTGTACGAGACCACGCATCGTATCGTGTCGAAATAAGACAAGAGCAAGAGAATAAAAACTGCGGAGTGTGTGTATACCACCTATGTAGGTAGGTAGGTAGTTAGGTAGATAGGTAGAAACGTTGTGTTTTGGTCGGTTTCTGTCTATCTAACTCGGTGCAAAAGGTTCTAGAAACCGAAAAAATCCCTTGGAATGACGCAACTCTGGAGGGCAGCTGTCACGTGGCACAGCCCGTTGCCGGCCGTGCGGCCATTTCAGTGCCAGCCAAGCACGTAGCATTTGTCATCCGCTGAAAACCAATCATCTCCATCTAAACACTTTGGCACAAGTACCTCGTGCCTCATTAGAGCAACATTGTTCTGTATCTAAGTGTATGAAAGTATTCCGAGTATCGTCACATACCTTGGGCATTTACAGTATTAGTGGTGGGCGCCTGGTATTGACAATCACGCCAATATCCACATATTCTCAACTGTCAAACCACATCTGACTGACCACATGTCATCAGAACCTTGCAGTGTTTGTCAGAATCCGACCTTCAAATACCATTGCTCCTCCTGTAGGGCTACAAGGTATGTTTTTGATAGTTCATACATGACATTAAACTACTTTTCTTGTCATTAACCATTGTCGTTACCCAGCTGTTCCCTGCCATGCTTCAAGACACATAAAAGTCAGTGTGACCAGTCCCTACCCAGGAGCGATGTATCAAGCCCCAGAGTTGCACCTCCAATATCAGAGGCGGTCTCAGCAGCGGACAAGCCTCTCGTCGACCGTCTAATTGAGGCGCTGGACAATCTCTTCCAACAATACCCAACCCTGCGTACGAAACTCAAGTTTATTTTTGGGACCACCGTTGACGATGAGAGGGAGGGGCCCCAGTCCACATCCCACAATCCACGAGGACATAGGTTCCAAGATACTCCACAGAAACGTATTGCACGTGCTTTGCGACTTCTGGATCGCCAGTTAGACTCAGACACAGCTGAGGCATCGGGTATGTTGGCATTTGCAGAGCTGGTGGCAGAGTTGGATCCGAGAAAGCTGGACGAGGACTCGGCCCACATTGGTGGCCCTGACTAGAACGACATCTGCTTTCCGAGGATGGCCAGAGAAAGGGGTGGTGTTGCGGGGCTTTTCGGCACCTTTTCTCGAACAGGGGATCCTTTTCTGGAAGTATCCTTTTCTCCCGGCTCATCTTCGAAATACATATCAATCAGCTTTTCCACAGGCGACCTCCTCTGAAAAATGTTGAAAAGGCTCCTGCGTCGCCGCCGGGGTCTGACGCTGCGCTCCTCATTTATGTCGAGCAAGCTTGAGTTGTCCAGCTCCGCAGTGGAGGATACCGACTGCTGATAGTCTTCCTCGTCCGAATCGAGCAAATTCAGGAGAGGAGGCCTGCGCTTCTGGTATCGGTATTCGAGTGTTCCTGGCCCATCCTGGATAGCAAAACTTTCCATCTCCCGACGTAATTGGTCCTCTCTGGGATCACTTAGCGTCAAAGGCGTCAAAGGAGGGTTCGAGTTCAAGGTTGCGTTGGACGTGGATTGAGATAGCCCAGGAACAGACGGTTCCTCGCCTTGGACGAAGAGCTCAGCAGCCTCACCAGACCAGACTCCGCCATTCCTTATCGCAGGCCTTGCGTCACTAGTTGTCATCCTCCTACGTGGCATCGGCCTGAGATGGGCATTTGCTGGTTCTCGGCATGCTTCCTTATTCGGCTGTTTCATGCTTGAAGTTCTGGGCGGTAACGTCCAAGATCTCGGGATTACTGGACTGAGTTCGTCGTCCTCGGAGAAGTCGAATTGATGATAGTCGCACTGGTCGTCTGTGAGATATTCAGGGATTTGGGCCAAGAGATGGCTCATTTCGGAACTTGATTCGTGATGACTTGCTTCCCCAGGAGGGGAGGGCGATTGCCGCCGCCAGATAAATCGTTGGCGCGAGTGTTCAGAGTATGATTCTCTCGTCTCCGAGTATCTACTGCTGGCACGCGTCGGGGCTAGTTTTGTGGGCAAGAACTGCTGCTCCGCCCATTGCTTCCAATTTCCAATCAGTGGTGCCGGTGAATCCTGTTCTATTGTCTCTGCATCAGGTGGCAGACTTTCCGTGCGTAGGGAGCTCCAATGCTCTGGGTGGGCAAAGGGAGCTGGTATGGACTGCTCGGAAGAAGTCGCAATACTTGGGATCTGCCTTGGTCTCCACGCTTTGGGAGGATGTGAGTCTGGCGGCCACCTCAATGCCGGCATAGGTTCGGTCATCTCCTGCGAGGTGTCTTCAAAGGAGAATCGCTTGGCAATGAGACCGTCGGATCTTTCAGAAACGCTTCTCGCTCGTTTGAGACGATCCTCGACTTCCCGCATCTCGGCTGTGTACCTGTCTAGACGTCTGAACAGGGAATCGAGATCCAGATCATCGTCTGGGTTTCTCAAAGACGAATCTGAGGTCGATGTGGTCAAGTCACCGGATCCCGTCTGATAAGCCGCCATCCATTCCCATGTCCGCTGCATAGCCTGACCGATCGATATGGTGCTTGCTCTGGCGCTGCCTCCGCCTGTTTCCCCATGATCACCAGAGTACAAGGACGACATTTCCAAGTTTGGGAGAGGATGTGAAGATTAGATGAATAGTGCACTTGATGCAATCATGGTAGGCGATATTATACCAACAGGAACATCCGTCATCAGTATATGTTGGAATATGCTCGACGCGTCGAAATGAGGTTGGCGCGCTCCATTGCCACGTTTTTGCTTGCCCACTTTTTTGAGCTGGAGCGAAGGTAAGCGAAAAGGGGGGGATGGACATTTGTGTGAAGCGAGGCTCGACCGAAAACGATAGACAAATCTCGTTCCAGCTCGATCACTGAAAGCCACCAACGGCTGGAAAGGAGAGAGTTCCTACATGCTGAGAGTATAACACCAAATGAGGCATAGTGGGCACCGTAGATGACCAGGAGCTGAAGGTCCCTTCTCAAACGGTGAACGGGTGGCTTGAAAAAATTGGTGATAGACTTGTTGGCATTGCGGGGCGGCGCGCAAGAGACAAGAATCACACCGAATCGAGCATTTCCATCGCGAAGGAGTGGTAGAGAACTGGTGACAGAGAGACAACTTACTCGTGCACGCTCGTGCTAGCTAGTATGTGACCTTGGAGTATTCAGAGTGACATCGACAACGGACGAGAGGGGCACACGCTCGTGGGCATGCTGTGCCATTCCATTCGGAGTAACTTCTCTTGTCTAGAAGTACCTACCAATAATACTCGTAATGGTGATCAAAAATAGCCTTCGCCATATCAATGAGTCGGTGAACGAGGGAAAATGGCCGTCGCCAGCCAGTCAAGCGCGGACGCATCTCATCACGCGCCCTCATGAAATTGGAACGAGTCTTGTACATCAAGATCTTCAACAGTATGTGTTTCCCGCGCAAGTACGGAAGTTATCGCGATCAAGTTGGTGGGGAAATTGCAGCACACAGAATCAAGGCGTGGGTGTGGAAGAGGTTGAGAAGGATGCTTCACGCCCAACCACACCAAAATTGAGAAGCTGCAGCAGCCAAAGCCAAAGCACAAGCCCCAAAGCTTTTCGAGATGCACTGAGGGGAGAGGTGGAGACGCTGGTTGAAGGAACATTGTAAGTCAAATGGCCCCTGACCGGGATGGAACTTGGTGCCGGGAAGTCACCAGCTACTGCTCGGTAGAGCGTGGTGAATAATCGTCGTGACGCCTGCGACACGCTGGAGGAAGGGAGGGTGATGAGTATGCGTGCATATGTACGAACGAGTTCCGAGTGCCGAGTACAGAAGTCGAAGGAGAGTAAGGAGGAGGTGGTGAGGTTGACGTGGATGAGAACGAGATGTGAAGTGAAAGGTGATGGTGGTGGTGGTGGTTGGTGGTAGTGACGGTGACTGCGACTGCGACTGCGCAGGTGTTTGAGGGCGAGACTGCGGCACGGGTCACTTGGTACTCAGTCAGAGGCACGAGGTGCTCGTCCTCGGTACCGCACTGCTCTCAGACTGCGCTTCCCGGCTGCCTGGCTGGGCACTCTCCCCAGAGTGCGCACGTACTCCGTACTCTCACTACCATCACTTCACGAGAAGCTCTTTCCCTTGTAGATCACGGAGCATAGCCTTTTAATATATTCCTCATCGCCATTTCATGTACCTAGGTGGGCAATGTAGGCACAGAATAGGCTCATGTCGGAAGCAGACTCCCTTCCTATCTCGTCAATTTTCCTGCGAGGAGCAATTTCAAACACCTCGTCACTATTTTTCCCTGTGCAGGGTGCAGCATGCATCCTTTTTGATCGTGCATAGTAGCGGCGGGTGGGTGCCTCACAAGCGGCTCTCCACCAGAGCCTCAACCAGGGGGTTGCTTGTCCATTGCCAGCCTAAACAGGCCTAAAGGACCCTTAGAGAGCCCCCAAGCCCACCCCCAGCGTCTTAACCAGCATCAACTTAACTCCCCCGCCAATGGCTTGTTGCATGGTCCTGCCGCGGAACCACCAGCCTACAGCAGGTTGCAGCAGGCCGGCCTTTTCTCATCCTGCACCTTTCCACAGTGTCTGCTACTGCTACTGCGTAGTTCCTGCATCAAACTACCACTGACTGGCGGACTGGGTGGCAGTACCTGACCAGGAAAACTCGACTACTGACGTTATTGTTCGGAGTCACCCAAGTCCTTCTCACATGGGGCCGACCTTCTCATCAACTCACCTAAAACTGAAAGGTGCTTGGTGTCCGACACTTTTCCCACTCCCCTTTGCCAACCAAACCTCGAAATCCATCGATACGAGGTACTTCTAAATCCTTCATTCTCCTTCTCCTCCTCCTTCTGAAGACCCTTCAACCCTCTTCCCCAACCGATACTGTGACCACAGGCGCACCCCCAACCTCAATCTCAGTCTTCCCTTCATCTCAAACAGCGCACTCGTCTCTCACAATTCAGGCCCTTCCGTCCAGCCGTGTCTCCTCCCCTCGTTGGGCCCAGAACCAACTCGAAATCCACGTCGACGGGCTAGATTACCCTCTCCACAGTTGATCCAGCCTCGGACCTCTTGAGATACCCACCCTCCGCCGATACCCTACGGAGCCTGCTTGTGCTAAACCTCACCCTTTTCCTCTCAATCCTGCCTCGATCGACACTCGCTTCTGTTCTCACAAACCCTGACTTTGTCCACGCTCATTCATCTCTCCGAACCTGGTTTAGAGACACTGCTCACTATCACCACCTGAAACCGACAGACAATTACCACCCGATTCCCTCTTCCCACCTGCTCGATTCGTCTAGTCCCCTGTCCATATCTCTCCTCGACACGGAGCGCTGCTCGAACTTCTAACCTCATTCATCTCGTCCCGACTCCCGCTAGTTCATCACAAAGACCCATTGACTTGGTGTCTTGATGTCCCAGAAATCCATGACCTCCACCAGTTTCCAGTTCTCTGGTCGTCATCTCTCTGCAACGAGTGGTTTCTCAAAGGACCAACCTGAGCCTGTCCGCTGCTTGGTACCAGTAGCTATGCAGTGATTTGAACCTGACCCTCCAGCCCTAACCCATGGATTCACGTTCCACACGGTACCGATCACTCGACGCAAAGGCTGTTGAGCCACCTCTCAGAGTTAGGGAAAGGCACAACTCGGCCCCCACTGTTGATCGACGCAAAGACCAGCACCACCAAAGGCGTCCATCAGCCGTTGTCAAACCCTCTGATACCAGCCACCGAAGCTCTAAACCTCATGCTCGGGTCGACTCATTGACTTCTCCAGACCGTGGCACAAACACCCGGCGCTCAGATCGTCACCCACCTTCTGGCTATTCCCTCGAGGCGAAGCTACCGAACAAGGTACGTCTTGCCCTTCTGGCCTCGCCTTTTTAGCAGTCCCAGTGCTCGGTAGCTATATTGACCCTCGATCTGCCTCTAGGCGAGTGAATCAGAGTCGACCTCATCCATTAACTTGCTGGTGCTTGGTTCTCGCAACTCTGGTAAAACCAGCTTCATTCGAAACGCCATTGGGAAAGAGCGGACTCGAACCTCGATTGAAGTGCGGATCAGAGACAGGTGCTATCAAATCCAACTCTTTGAGCTGCTCTTCGAGGATGTCGACTTCAGCAGCGAGCGGAGAATCGAATGGCCACCATACATAAATGGAGTTCCTCTACCCGAAATTGACGGTGTCTTTTGCCTTTACGACGTCTCTGACAAGGAAAGCGTCGCCGACGTCCCGGCCGCATTGAGTAAGTTCCCACTCACAATCTTCCTGCCCTGGTCTCAAACAATCATATCCCTCCCAAGGAAGTTGGGCCTCCCGCTAACGACGTTACTGAAGCCTCCATGACCAATACTGGCGTGCCTTGTATGCTTGTTGCTGCCAAATGCGACGTCGACGACGATTCCCGCCAGATCAGTCCACGTTTCCACGAGACTGTCCGCCGTAATCTTGCCAAGGTCGCCATTGCCGAGATTTCCATAAGGTCTCCTGAGAACACCAAGCAGTGTTTCCTTGCAATGATTCATCGAGTCATTGCCTCTCCGCGAGGTAAGTCGTCATTGCCATATGAGCTGCCCGTTCTCCCCGTCCACAGGACGGTGGTTCCTCCCCGCCACCTGAACTTCAATTTCTCGTTTCGCTTCCCGTGTCTATTGTCTAGCACACATAGACTTCCCGAATATATCATTTCACAGTCATGTTCTTGTGACCCGAATATCACGTCCGACATCTGTTACCACACGAGCAATGGACTCTTAGCTGACAACGAATCAAGCCTCTATTCGAGCAAGCAAGTCTTCGTATACTTCCACCGAGTCTTCAGGCAGCCAGCGCGTTGTCTCAAGGGATCCCTCGCCGAAAGCAGCTCGAAGCAGGAGCCGATCGAACAGCCGATTACAAGTATCAAAGTCTAAGGAACTACTGCTGAACCTTTCGGTGCGACAAGCACTCATTGAGTCTGAGAACGAATATAGTCAATCTTCGGAAACGGAGGATGTGGCTCCGGCCGGTCGTAAGGCCAAACTCAAGTTGGATACAACAGCTGTTTCTCAGTCCCAGCGCCGTCCGGCCGAGCCTCATACACCTATGTCTTCCGGGGACTACACCGGCAAATTGACATCCCCTCTCGAGACCTCGACAACAGCAGTTCCCGAAACGCCCGACTCCTATTATGTAAAATCAATGCTTCGTCCTGAGTCAGCATCCACCATTGACAGCCGGGCATATCAAACTTTCCTCAACATGGACGAAGACTCTCATGAGCTTTCCCCTCGGACTGAAGTGGAAGCTTTGGGCTCTTCTTTGGGCGCTCTCAAAGTTGACGAGGGTTCGCCAAACGTCGAGCGCGGGGTTCCGTTTCAAGAACTGGTCGACAAGCTCCTCCTGCTACCCACGAACAAGACAGATTCCAAATTTGTCCCGTCCTTTTTGTGTCTGTACCGTGCTTTTGCAACCCCACAAATGTTGCTGACCGCTATCATTGACCAGTTCATGAAGGTGGAAAAAAGTAAAATGGTTCACTTCACCAAGGTCGCAGAGATGCTTCGCTACCTACAGGTATTGGCTCAATGGACTGCCACGTATCCCGGAGATTTTTCTCCTGGCCCTGCTCGTGATATCGCCACCCCTTTTGTGCAAAGTATCGAGAAGAGCAAAGTGTTCGCACCTGCTGCTAGGGAGATAAGCAACAACCTGGACACCATCATTCCTGATGAAGATTTGGATTGGGCCTTTAATGATTCTACCTCAGCATCGGGTAAAAAAAGTGGCGGAGGCAGTCATAAAGCAGGGACGTCGAGTTCGTCATCAACCCTGGTTCCATCGCCGAGCACTGAGAATATGGCAAAATTGGGTCGCAAGGGACGGCGGGAAGAAGATGAGAAGTGCGACAATCTTGACGGGACGACTTTGTCTGCACGTGGATCCAATGTGCCTCCGATGTCGTCCAGCATGATGAGATCAAGTAATCCCTCCAGTCAGTCCTACGCAAACTTTCTCCAGCTGGAAAATGCGAAGCTGGAAGCCGAAAGATTCAGGCCAGTGCCTCGATTTCGCCTCACCAAATTCCAATGGCATCTATTCATGGAAAGCACCCTCGACGACCTTGCCAGGGAAATTACACGGATCGATTGGACTGTGTACTCGGCGATCAGACCCCGGGATTTTGTTCGGCATGTCTCTATTTCTACCTCTCAGAAAAGGAAGTCCAGCTCCGGTGATAACATCGGCGCCATGGTGAAGAATTTCAATCATCTGGCCTTGTTTGTTTCTGGCATGATCCTACTTCGAGACAAGCCAAAGCACCGAGCGAGAGCTTTGGAAAAGTTTATGGCACTAGCATGGAAAGTGAGGCAACTGAATAATTACAATTCCCTCGGCGCTATCGTGGCAGGCATCACTGGTCATGAGATTGCTCGATTGGGGGCAACTCGAGATCTGATCCCTCCGGAGGTGCAGAAGCAATTTCTGAGGTTGACCATTCTCATGGGCATATCGAGATCTCATGCCGCATATCGCATGGCTTGGGACAATTCTCCAGGGGAACGAATCCCGTTTCTCCCCCTTGTGCGACAAGATCTTACGATGGCTGCTTCGGCAAACCAGACATTTATCGGCACGAACATCAACTGGAAGAAATTTGAAATCATGGGAGATGTCATTGTTGGTATTCAACGCAGTTTGGAAAACCCCTACAGCTTCCCCCAAAGGTCTGTTCGAACTGATGAGATCATCAAGTTGATCTTGGAAACCAAGATCGTTGAGGAGTCAGAGGTGAGATAATTTACTAGGATCATGCGCAAGCCCTCGTTTCTAACCTTGGACAACAGGATTCTGCAGACCCACGCAGCGAGCTATACGACCGAAGTGTACAAGTGGAACCACAAGCGAATGGGACGGATCCTAGAAAAAAGTTCGATTGGTTACGGCGTTAATGACGGAAGACCTGAGTTGCACAAAAACATCAGCTTGTGAAAAGTTTTGACAAAAGGTCAGATATTGGTGTACAGAGAATTCGACACGAAGATAGAAAGGGAAGCTGGAGCTCTGAAAAAGTCTCTTGAAGAGGCGGGCGCACTGTTGGCTCTATGAGATTATGATTTATGACAAAAGACTTGACGATGTTGTAAGTGACTGATTACGGGAGTTTGGAATGGTACAAGGGAGGACATCGTGGTCAAGACCTTCGGCGTGCTTTACGGAAAGGTGTTTTGGGAATCTCATGTCATGACCAAGAGCAAGGGCGATGGCAACACTCAACGCGTCGGTGTGGGAATGAAAAGTCGGCTATCGTCTTGCAAGGGCTGCACAATTGAAAATTGCTGGATACTGGTCTGCAAAGAATCGCTTTGGTGTGGAAACGTGTGGTTGCAACCATGGATCAACGTGTCGCACATCCTGACGGTCGGCTGCACTGGGACCAGAAGGAGCTGGAAAGCAGGCGAGAGTATGGCTCTCAAGGCGCCATCGAAGCGGGTGATATCAGCGGGCGGAATGTGCTTTCTCACTGGGGATGCACCGGCGATCTTTGGACAACCACTCTTCAATTGCCTCAATCGGAAATGCAGAATGGCATTCTGTCGGGCTTGATGATGGGGAGACGAAAGGAACTTCCATCCAATACACGCAAGGACAGGACCTGTATAGGGTCTGGCGATGCCATTGGAAGTTCCTGGAGTTATCTATGGCAAAAAGCAGAGCCCAAGGATCAAAAATGTCCACAAATGAAGATTTATATTTCCCAGCGTGTTTCTTCTACCAGGTTCGAATATACGTGGTTGACAGGATGGCCCCGACACACCATCCGTGCCAACCTTCTCGTCTGGAGTAACCGTCTGACGCTTGTCGCTGCATGCTTCACTGAATAATTGCTCGTCATTCATGAATACCCACATATATTACAGATCGCAGTGATATTGCCCTATCGGTCTGGTACCGGGCAAATTCCTCCCCTCCCCCCACCTCCAAAGGACTCTTCACCACGACATGGCAGGACCCATCAAATCCCATTGTTCCCCATTTGTCTTCAAAGTCCGACCTAGTGGGCGATTCCATTTTGTTTTGTTCCTCGGTCATTTTTCGTTCTCCATTGCCCTTTTTGGTGCATGAACATGCATTTTTGAGCCTGATTCCTTCTGCAGGCCCCATAGCCCTATAACGAGACGAAACATTCATGCCAGCTTGAGCGAACTTTTTTTTTGATTTGACGATATTAGATAAACGGGAGTGGAAGGTGCTTAAGGAGCACCCATCTCCTCGTCCCTGCTCTTCTCCTCGGGACTGACGGCGTCCTGACCCGGGTTCGCCTCCTCGTACCGGAAATACTTGACGAAGCCGTAGTAGGCGGAAGCCAGCAGGGAGCCCATGATGGGACCGAACCAGTAAATGTAATGGTATCCGGGGAAGTAAGGTGCCGCGACGGCGGGGCCGAAGCTCCGCGCCGGGTTCATCGAGGAACCTGTGTAAGGGAGGCCGGCCATCATACCGACGAACAGCGCGAGGCCGATGCCCACAGGGGCCATGAAGGTGGCGTAGTGCTTCTCCGCGGCGAGCATGAGGATGGTGAACACCAGGAGCGAGGTGAGGAACATTTCAATAAAAACGCCCTGCGCGGGCGTGGTGTTGTTACTCAGCGTCGTGCCCACGACCAGCGGGCCAGGGAACATGCATCTGACGAGGGCGGCCGCGACGATGCCGCCGAGGATTTGGACTGGGAAGAGGAGCAGGCCGCGAACCCAGGGGAGATTCTTTGTGATGACGAGGCCAAGGGTTACCTGATATTCACATTCGGTCAGTTTTTCGAGGTGCGCCAGGAATACCTCAAACAAATGCAGAGAAAACATACTGCTGGGTTGAACAATCCCCCCGAGATTCTGTAGAATGCCCACACCGTGACGAGCAGCGAAAAGCCAAAGGCCAAACTCGTCAAGGTGATCTGGGTCGGGGTATTGGCTACACCTCCACCCGTAATGGCCGTGGCTTGCGCACCTGCAAATGCGAACCACAGGAAAAGCGTGGTGCCCACGAATTCCCCAACCATGGCAATGACATGGTTCTTTGTGCGAGCTCGACGTGACAGGAAGTCTCGATCGGGGTCATTGTTGCGAGGAAGATGGTGGTGGTGGTGATGTTGCTGCTGGCTGTTCGAGGCCGACGCTGTGGCTGCGGTCGAGCTGGACATATGGTGACGTCGAGCTGAGAAGGGAGGGAAATGGCGAGGCATGCTGGAAGAGATCAAGGGTTCGGGAAACAATGTTGCACGAGAATATGCTTCAACCTCTCTGCAAAAAGGAAGGGGAGGAGTTTGGCTTTGTAAAAGGGGAGTAGGGAGGATGGATGATGGATGATGTCAACGAGTGAGCTCTCTATACGAGGATAATCATGATACAAAGGTTTTGCTTCACGAGCTAGTTGTGAAAGTGGAAACATGCTCAGCCTAATGACCTGAGTGCTAGGATGGACAAAATGGTTCGATTCGTCTTACCTCTGGGCTTTGCCCTCAAAGCTTCTCGTCGATCGCGGGCAGAGCGACATAGCTGCCATGTGTCGATCGTGAGTCAAAAGGCGACCCTAGTGAGCGCCATGGCGCCCTAGGCCGGCCGCTCTCAAAACCCAATTGTCATGGATTTGTTGAAATGCGATGCTGTCACCGGGTTGATGCAGGAGATGCGGCGAGACGGTCCGTCCTGTTGGACCCTGGCTTGCAACTTCGGATGTGGCGCCAAGTAGCCAGATATGACATCAAAGTCCTGTCGAGAGTTCCCAGCCTTGCCAGCATAGGTCAAGTGATACCAATAAATCTGTGCCGTCTTTAGGAAGAGGCCCTTCCCACGAGCGGCTGATGATGGAAGTAACGGGAATGTCGATAATGCAGCATGTCGAATACTTTACGAGAAGTCAAGACGAAAAGAGGATGAAGCGCCAAGACATACTCGGTATACCAAGAAATGACTGATTCCTTACGTCATCCATACAACTAGACAGCCTCACCCAAGCCTCGTGCACGTGCTCACGTCAACAACGACAAGGCTGAATCGACCGTACATCAGGCTGGGAGGACTCTCCAAGTTCCAAGTAGCCATCAGGCTGTCAGGCTGATTCCCTTGCAATGGTGCTCATTCCTCCTTGTGCCTGCTTCATGCAAGGCGAACGAGCTTTCCCTAAACTGGAATGTGTTCACACCGCCTTCCCGCTACACCCACGACAACGACGAAAAGCCGTCTTCGGACCGCATCGAGATTGAAGAACAACACCTGCGCTGTACTGAATCTCTCTGTTCATTGCCATCTGGAAACCATTTGATCTCAATGGCGCTTGCGTCGAGTGCTACTACCTTCATCTCGCCGGCTCAACGCGCTCCTGCCCCAGTCCCTCCTTCAGTCCCTGTCAGGCTGAGCTCGCTCCCAGTGGGCACACCACAGATCTCCGCCCATACCTCAAGCCCACCTGCCATCCTCACACCAAATCTCCTGCGAACAGCAAACAGCAACGCTACTCCAACACCAGCGGGCGCCGCGCAACAGCAAGCTACGAGGACTATTCGAAAGACCAGAGCTTGTACGCTTCTGCCGTGCGGTTCTACATCAAGAGGGACTAAGAAGAGTTTGGCGAAGTCGGCGTTCAATCTACTTGTGTTGGCGTCATCTATCCTCGGCCTTGTCTATATGTATGTCGACAACACTCGGGCAGCGTGGACAGCAAGGAAGGATTTCCGCGAAGACTGCTTCAACCAGAGAATGAGCTCCATGTGCCCTCCAAGACCAAACCGCTTACCCACACATTTTCGAATCTTCTGAAAAGAAATTGACTTTTTGTGGTTGCACAGCAAGTATTTGGCAACTGGTCTACAGCATGCCATCAAAACCTCTCAGAAGACCTCGGCCGGCCTCCCCAGTTCTCCGGATTGCTGGTCTACAAGAGAGCGGTGATGCACAACGACATTCCGGGCCCCTCACAAAGCTTGGTTCTGGTGTTAATGACAGCCTCGTGGCTTCCTTTGGGAATTTTCACGGTCTGTGACATAGCCTGTCCGCGCCAGAAACACGCATTATTCGTCTTGACCCTTTTTGCCGACTTGTTTGCTTTCTCCGTCTTGAGACCTCTATTGATATGTCTAGGAACTTGTGCTTGGGATCTGACTATCTGGTCCTTCTCTGTTGCGTATGCACACTCAGGGGCTTTTGTATTCTTGTCTGCTATCTGCGAGATCCATGCCGATTGTGAATATATCGACTGGAGAACGATTCACTGCGTCCTCAAAGGCAAACTCAGACTTCGAGACCTGTTTCTTCTGCCTAGTGCATGTCCCCGTTGCACGATACCAGGACATGGTAGCGACAGCTGTCTGTTCTACGGTGAATTGGTATGAGCGGCAGCTTTACTCCGAGAGACATCGATAGCAAGATCAGCCTGAGCCGGGCCAGCTCCGTCACGGGACGGCAAAAAGATGTATGGATTCCAAAAAAAAAAGGTCATATTGATAACAGCCAAAGGGGTATCTTCAAGTCAGATCTATAATCGCTCTGCTCAGTCCACGTCCAAGTCATGTGTGTGTGTGTTTTTAATTTTTCAGTGCCCAATCGATATGTAACCACATTCGCATCGAGATAACCTCCCTCACTACCTGTTCAGATACCGGATCGCAAACAAAAGTCTGCGTCGTCCTCAAAAACTCGGCCACACCATCTCCAGGGTGGGCTGGACGTCACTCCTCTCACACCTCAACCTGATCTTGCTCCCCGTCGTTGGCAAAGTAACTCTGATCAATCTTCAGGATCCATTCGAGCTTTTGACTCTCGCTTCGCGCTGCGAACAAAAAGGTATTCTGCTCTCCATACACGGCGAACACGTGAGCTAGGCCGTGGAGTTCGGCATTGCTCCCGGCCCTTCTGTGACCCCGCTGGTGCTGCTGCTCTGTTGAAGAAAATTCGGCACCGTCGTGTGAAATGGTTGATCCGCCGCCAAGTAAGCGCTTGAAGTCTGGGTCGTGATCGATCCGTGCGTGGGTGAGATTTACCGCGTTGATCCCCTCGCCGTCAGGAACGGACTGGATGTAAAGATACGGGGGGCGCAGGTCGACAAACCGTCGTTTCCACTGCATGACGCTGGCGTGGTTGCCGGAAGGCGAGGTCTCGTAAGATTCCGAAGGCATGAGAAGGTAGCCGGACTTGAGAGATGCTGTGTTCTTGGGCACATGAGTGACGGTGGCTCGGTAGCGGGTCGACGATGTTCGCGATGTCTCAGTCGTCGGTGTTGGCGACGGTCGGGGACACGTAGTCTCGTCGCCGTTGTCGAAGATGGGGTTCTTCATCTCGGCACTCGGCTTCATCCAGATGGCGAGGTATTTGCGTAGAAGTTCTTCTTCTCGGGAATCGATCACAGAAGGTGATACTGTGCGAGACCGACCTCTTTGTGCGGTTATACTAAGTCTGCGCAATCCCAATGCGGCTTTGGCGGATTCAATGTCCTCTAATTGACGCCTTTTTCTCCGGGCTATCAAGTAGTCTTTGACCAACGAAATTCCTCGTGGCTGCCAATTCCCGAGAAGTTCTTCTCCATTGATGTAATTCTTTGAAGTATCCAGACGCCATAGATCGGCTGCTCTCTTTGCGCTGATTGGCAACACAACAATCGAGAACACTCCGTCTGTGGCGTGTGTTATTCGAGTCTGGTTCCAAAATGATTTGAACATAGATTGTGGACGAACGTAGGATCGCGGCAAGATCTGCACCTGTTGGTCGATGGAGAATTTCATAGAATGATCGTGTCCCAGGCGACTGGAGACAACGTCCCACCGCAACGATATCTGAACTCGACAATTCTCGCTGGTGGCCCGGTCAAGGAGGAGGGTTTTGTGTAATGAGCTGTC